TTAAATGCGTTTGAGCTTGTTAAAAAAGTCTTTGTAGCCCATAGACCATCGCGAGAAAAAAACTGAAAAGTATAGAAAAAGTTTAAAACAAATATGAAATAAAGAAGTGATCTGATTAAGAATGATAGAGTGTCAATTTAGAATACTTTCGTTGTGTGATTAAAATATTTTCTTATGTTTTGACACACACATACATATCAAAAAACGTTCCCTACTCTTAAAGTAAAAATCACATTTGTGCAGTTCCGAGCATCCAAATTTGCTTGAAGTAGCTAGCCATTCTAGCTTGATTTTTTTCAGGAGAAAAAAGCCATGTTACAGCGATAGTATTGTTGACATTGCTAATGTCGTTGCCGTCCGGAAACCGCTATATTGGTCATAATTTGATTTCCATGTCGAGTACTATAATCTACATTTATGTAATATTAAAGTGAGTATCCTGTCAATGCTCTGCCTTGTACCCTGTCCTGTTATTTTTGGGGTCCTGGCCTTTTGCCGCTGGCCCGTGTGTAGGTTGCGTTCATTAAAATGACCTTGCGTTGATTTTGTTTTTCAATTTAAACGCTTTGTTTTATTAAAAAGGCAAAGGACGTCAGTAAAAATATGAGACAGCAATCCCTTTTTTCGATCCCCAATTACCGGTTTGTAATAGATATTTATTTGTTTGAATTTTTTAATGTCTTTGTTTGATATTTTAAATCTTAAGAATATGAAAAGTTTAACTTGTTACCTGGATATCTCATCTCGTCATTGTAGTCCATCCGTCAGCAAATATCCAATCCGTCAGGGATGCCAGGTATCTGCCACCATCATCAATTGGTCATACGACGACAACAGACAATTGTCTGCCGACGATTTAATGACACCGTTATACAATCTTGCTGCATGGAGCAAGTTATCAAACAATAAGCAATACTGTTGAAACTGATTTCGTTAGATATATAGTCAACTTGAGGTTTTATAGTTTATCCGAGCTTTATGTTTGATATTTTGTTCCGCTAAACATATTTGCTTATGATAGTATGTTACAAAAAATCGCCTATAGTCCTCTTGGAGACATTTCCGAATTAAAAATGTGTTTAAAGTACGTTAGAAAAGGTTCGCTGTTGCAAGCAACTGGATATTGATTAAAAATTATAGCGTGTCGATTGCGACATGATTATTCAGGCATTCTTTGAAATAGGCTTATGAATATATAAGCCTAACTTAGAAAAATCAAATGGTTATGAAACAAAAACAAGTATTGTTTTGCATATTTTAAGTCATGTCTATCGAAGAAAAGGTACAAAGTAAGGCTTGTCAATATACAAAGAACAGCTCTCCCTCCATCATTTGCATTTTTATTTCAGATTAAGGTACATAGTTAGCACTGATCTTGTGTAAAGTCATTTTGTTGTCAGGCAGAAATGAAATTATATATTGTAGTATACGTGAGGTAATTGTAGTACACATTTCACTAACGATACTATGGCTGTATATAATGTATCCCTCAAAAAACGAAGAAAAAAGGTCTCTTGTAATCGTATATAATGATATGGCCTTGATATTACTTTTGTCATATGTTATATATCTATCCAAAATGTAAAGTTTCAATCAAACGGATAACATACGGAAACAAAGAATTTAAGTGGTTTTTTCTTATTGCATTAAATATTATTTATAAAAACTAAATTTCTAATCTAATCTAAGAAAAAATATCTTTCGGTTTTTCACCCGTGGGTTCTCAAGAAAAAAACGAATATGATAATCGCCCAATTGATATGATCATACCGTTTTCGATTACTAATACGGTAACAACAACAGACCAATATATCAAAATGTTTGAACATTAAAGCTTAGAATAAATCGTTTTATTAATTCACTAACATCGACGTAATGACTATTACTTTAAATTGTTGTGATATGATCAAGTTTTCCAATTTATTAGACACCATTTTTATCATTTGTAATAACCTTTATTATCCAGTGCAATTTGCAGTATTTTACATCCTTTTCCTTTGGTATAAACATTTCCTTCATGCGATAACAAATAAGGTTTTTTTGCGTTCATTTGCGCCGCCCTTCCTTGTAGATCTTGTTTTCATATGTTAGGTGCAAAGAGGGCTTTACGTTTACAATATCCATTCGATGCTGATTTCTCATTAACTTAAACACATTTTGTGTATTCTCTTCATTTGACTGTACGAACGAATAAAGAAAAGGGGCCTAGTACATCAGATCAATGTCAAAAGTTATATCTAATGTTGTTCAGCCTTCTATTTTACTTCCAAAATTTACATATCTTGTAATCCGTAAAAGATGGCAATTGTATGATTCCAAATATTCTTTATTATTTCAGATAGATAAAGCAGCTATCGTCGTTTTGTTTCTGTGGTTTAGTTTACATACACGGACATTTCCAAGAATAAATGACGAACAAACAGAGACCGCTTGCGCAGAAGGTTTTTTTTATATTTTTATTATTATTATTATTATTTTTATATTATTATTATTATTATTATTATCATCATCATCATCATCAACATCTTCATTATTATTATTATTATTATTTTTATTATTGATTTTAAAGACATACAAACACTGAATATTTATATTTCTGATTGTGTCTACCCAACTGTTAAAATGTTCTTGCTTATTTTTCAATAAAACCTCGAGTGTCATTTATTTATTTTACGTTCGTGTAGTCAAAGCGGGCAATGGCTTTTTAAAAAATGGTTACGCAGCCATCGTTATTTCCCGCTGTCTATTATCGATAGAAGAGACAGATACCACAAAATATGACGATATTGTTAAAAGAAAAAGTAAAAATTTGAAAAAAAGGGAATTCTTCAGACCATTGTTCTCAAAATACATACATTTATAGTAAGATTTGATTTTCTTCATCAGGAAACGTTGTGTTCTGATCGAAAGTTTTTTTTTAAACTTATTATTTGTCTTTTTCTGCGTTGCAAAGACAATGTTTCCGGTTGGTAAATGATAACAAAACGTCTTTAAATCATGTGATAAGGAGTTGTTTATTGCAGTTGGAAATAAGATAAAACTTACGGGTAACGACCGTTCACTTAAACGAGACACTAAAGATATTTTATAAACAGCGGATGTTTGAGACTTTGAAGGCACGGTTGGTTAAGTTGTATTTAAATTAAAGAAAAGAAATCTAATTAAAAAACTAAAATAAAAAAAACCCAAATCGAAAGCTTCATGAAAGAATTTAAATACTTCAAAAGTGACTAATATTCTAAAATGTAGGAGTAAAAACATAAACATTTACCTGCGGCAAATCATTCTCTTTCTACATGTACACACACGGTTTGAATTACCGGTTGATTTCTTTGGTATCACTTTCTGAGGTGAAGCTAAACGTGTCGGTGCATTATTAACTCTGCGTGGTAGAATTGAATCAAAGGTTGAAGATTCATTTTGTTTCATTATAATACATATTTCATTTTTTTATAAAATGTTTATGATTATAATAAAGGGATATTTGTTATCACGGAAAGTCAAGCAGAAATTAAAGTAAAAATGATGTTTAATGTATAGTTCAAAGTTTATTATTACCTTTTTACAAAATTAAATTGGTCAGTCGCGCTTCATTTGATATACTACAATCCTATTGGACATAAATCATTTATATTAAATTAAATTAAAATTATTCGTTTTTTCTTTTGTTGTTTTTGTTTTGTTTTGTTTAAGCTTTTAATTGATTTTAAAAGCTTACATGTCGCCTCAATATGTATAAGATGATTAATAAACAAAACATTTTACATGCCTTAATGTGTGATGTTTTGCTCAAATTCATATGCACAGTTCGTAGTGAGGTAACGACTACAGACTGTTGATAACTACAAAAACAACATTAAAATTATGTAAAATTTATTCTGCTAGTAATGTATATTGACATAACCTGAATACATTTTGTTTGCTATGACTTTTTAATTGACTATAGAACCAGAATATTACTAATTGTAAGTATATACTAAGTTATTACATTGCAAATTAACAATCGACTTACATTTGGTAATTAACAATCAAATATTTTATCTAGTATAACAAAGGCAAATATCAAATCGTACACAAGACTTTAGTTAAGATAAATTTACATGCATATGAAGAACCATTCTTTGTTAATTAAAGACTTACTAGGTAATTTGTTGTCATGTATTAACATGCAAAATAAATATGCGCGACTATATTTCATATTTATGTAACAGTTTAATCAATGTCATTGCACGTCGTAAAATGTTGGCAATATTGAACTACGTTTCGTTATTAATATTTTAACACAAATTAAACTTTACAAATAAAACTTTTTTTTAAATGACCATCAAAATTGACCTAAATTTTACATTTCTTACACAAGTTAACCTAACACATACAGAGGAGGAACATTAATTTTAGATGAAACAGTTTTCTTACAATAAATTATACACATCAGATTTTCGTTACCTGTATCATTGTATATCCCAGAATCGAATCAAAAAACCCAAAAATTTACTTTAAAAAGATTTAAAGTTTAAAATGAAAAAAGCTTTTTTGAGCGTCACCGAAAAAGATAAATAATTTTTTTGCTAAATAACCTCTATTTAAAATAGTATTTTAAATCAAAATATTATTTTAAAAATCCCAATTTTTGTTATGAAATGAATACATTTAAAAAATCATCGACAGAAATAGTAAGCATAAAATTTTTATCCGCTTTTCGGACTGTAAACGGGTTTTGTCTTATTAACAAAAAGAATCAAATTTTCGGGAAATCCGATCACACGAGATGTTTCTTTAGGAAAACCAAAAAACCCGCGCGCAAAAGGTTTTCGCTAAAGAAAAAACGGTTCTTCGCGAAGGGTTTTTCCCGACTTGCGCAACCCCTTTTTAAAAGGTATCAAGCGAAACAAACAGAAAGAGTTCAATATCATTTTTTCTTCATCCAGGATTGATATATCAACTTATAACTTTTTCAATCTCGTTAAATAGTAAAATTCATTTACAATGTAAAGAAAATAGCGGTACAGTAGATTTTAAACAGAAAATCATTAATTTAAACTGTTCTTATAATTTAAATATTATAGGCCGATCATGAGCTTGAATCTAGTGAACTATTATAATACTTCTTTCGCAATATGTGTTCAGAAGGCAGCACGTTGCCATGTTCGTCCAAGAATCTCTCTGGGCGAAATGTCCATGGATCTCCCCAAATCTCCTTGTTGTGGTGGATATACCAACTATTCCCAATTACCTTTCAATACAAAGATAACTTTTAATTTGTTGTATTCTTACAAAGAAAATGTTTTTAATGAAATTTTTCTAAAAACTTTATTAAATGTCTATTTGAATGATGTTGATAGAACAAGAAAACTTTAACCAAACGCGACAAAAGTGAACCTCGCAGTGGCACAGAAATGACGTTTGTGAGTTTTTATTTATCTCGTACATGAGATACTATATCGTGACCACGAGTAACCAAGTCACGCTCAGGAGTAAAGTAACTGGTGGGCACGAGATACTATGTCGTGACCATGAGGTACTAAGGGGTGCACACAAGATACTTAAGTGGTGCGCACGAGTTACTAAGTCATGGCCTTGCGTGACTGAATCGTGCCATATATTATGCTGTGCGCTGGAGTTACTTACTCGTGATCACGACATAGTATCTCGTGCGCTCTACTTGACCGCCAAAACAATGTTCAGGTGGAAGCAGGGAACATGACCCGTAGGTAATTGCAATGACATGATGTGAATGTGATTATACAATCTTCAAATCAAAGCTGACAATTTGACAAATGTTTCAATATAAGACGAAAACGTGTGTGTATTTTGATATATTCATGCACATCATCCACACATAATTAAAGCTATATATGTATATGGAACGTCTGGACTGTCTTATGTTAATAATGAATGATATACATGGTTAAATGTCTTTCTGTTGAGTCCGAGATACAAAATGCTGGGTGGAAATTCTAATGTGCTCAGTTATTGAAGTGCTATATTGTGTGCTGACTGTATTTTATTCAGTCAAGTCAAGACTCAACAGAATGACATTTAACCATGTATATCAGTCATTCTACACATAAGACAGTCCAGGCGTTCCATATTTGTACTTATGTTTTCAAATACTTAGCTAGATTTGTTGACGATAACTTACTGTACTGTTCATTGCAATATCATATCCTTCAAAGTCTATGTCTTCTTTGCATTTATGAGGCAACATAAGTGGGACAACTGTAATGTATCTATGCACTTCCAGCTCAAATGCTTTGAAAAATGGGCAATTACTTCGGTCTTTAAATGTCGGAAGTCGTTGTCTTCCAATTTCCCTGTCAAACTCATTCTGGAGCAGCTTCTGATATTGTGGATAATTCAGTAATATCAACATTGTGTTTGAAAGAACCGACCAAGTTGTTGTGATTCCTATAAAATGGTAACAAATAAAGAAGTATCTTGCAGGATTAAGATATCAAAAGAGCAAATATTAAACATATTTGATTTTGAGAAGATCTATCTTGTATTACAAATCATGTTTGTATAAAGCAATGTTAATGTTACTTAACAGATATGTAATAGAATGGAAACCTCTTCGCTCATTGTATGGTACGTGTGATGAAATAAAACAATGTATTACACCTCAATATATCCTTTCAAGTAAAAATCCCATAGCCTTTTATTTGTTCTGATTAAATATCACCCTCCTGATAAATACTCCAACGGGAATATTTCTTATATCACCTTGTGGCACATAACTTTTGCATAACTACATATTCAGTATAGGCCTATTATGTGTTCTGTTGAATATTACCCTAGGAGATTTACCCCGGTGAAGATTTCTTACTTATGTGTACCCTGATGTGTATTCTATTTGTTCCCTTGACTGCGTACCTTACAAATATTGTAGTTGTAGGTCTTTTGGTATAATAAAATAAAACACATGTCTGCGCCACGGGGTAATATACCAGTTCCCTGGTTGATAATATCCTCTTTCATCCCATCAGTCATGTGTTATTCATATATTGTCAAACGTGGATTTTGATAATACGTAATAGTAGACACGGCATGTGATTAAATACAATAATTACATGTGCAGATCGTTTTGTTCATTACAAAAAGTAATTGTTAAAAGGAAGCTGTGGTGTACATCTTGAGATGAAACAAAACAGGTACACTTATCTTACACTTCTACGGTTACTGCATCAAATCAAAAATAATAACGTAAACAAGTTTAGTTCTATGTATTTAGCACTTCATAGGTCAAACAAAAATGTGCTTTATATCACTGTAAAAAGTTGTTTGAATAGATCTAATTGACGAGGTTTCATTTCGATGCAAAATACACAATGTATTATTCTGAGCATCATATATTACATTGTTCTCGCTTATCAGAAAGGATTATCTACCGTTTTCGACGGTGCTAGAAAAACCCATGTAAGACACGTCGCGTGCTTTAAATGACATCATTGCCGCGCGCCTTTTATGACTGAATTGCGTTCTTAGGATGACGTCATTTTACTGTTAAATCATACGCTTCAATGAGAAAAAAGTGTGTAATGAGAATATATATCATTTTTTTTTCTAATTTTTATTCTGAAAATAATTGATACGCAATATGCAAGCATACGAATCCAAAACCGGCTGTCGGTCCAGACGGAAATATCTAGCTCTCGGTAACCTGTTTAGCGGAAACTCAGCAGAGCCTTGTTACAACCGTAAACAGTTACCCTCGAGCTAGATATTCCGGTCATTTCCGGCAGCCAGTGTAAGATTCTAATTATCTGTAACACAGTTTATTTCTTAAGATGATCGCTTTATTAAATATCATAATAATGCTCACCCCCATCTATTATGTCAATCACTTGTGCTATAATTGTATCATCCGTAAAGAAAACCTCCCCTCCAGCTTCTATTTGTTGATTCTGTTCCTCGAAAAATACATCAACGATACCACGGACTTTTCCTCTAACAAATGATCTCTGTTATAAAAAACAAGCACAGCATCAAGTAATAATTTTAAACTTGTACATAATGTGAACATCGGGAAAATATTCTCTAAAAGAGTCAATGAAAGTATACCTATATACCGTTTTTGCTACCAAGATGTATGTCATTTACAAATTAGATATTTAAAAACATTTGTCATATAAATTAAAATTGTCACAAGATTTTAACACATACCAAAATTTCTGTTTAATTTTCAAAATTTATAGATAGGTGTACATCAACCTATCAAACAGTATATATTTTACTAAACCCTGTACAAAATGAAAGAAAGCAAACCTTGACATCGTGAAAATATTTCTTTACAATTTTTGCATTAACAGCCTTCGCCTTTAGGAATTCTTGTTTGTACCTTCCAGGGATATATCGTACAAATGGTAACACTGACATAATGAAGTTTACATAAGAATTCAGAAAGAAATCTTCAACGTGTATTTCATCCAAGAACATGTTCTTTTCTTTTTCATCGTCTAAAACTGGTTCACCAATCAACTGTAAAATATGAAATCAAAAGGATTGTTATTTTTCATCAAAGATACTAAATGTACCAAGCATAACCTGATTTTAATTTCATATCAGACAGGATTATCTACTGTTTGGATAAAGCCTGAATTACATCCCCCCCCCCCCCCACCTATTTAAGATAAGTCGTGCGCTTTTAAATGATGTCATCCCCGAGCGCCGTTTGTGAATGATTTATGTACGTATAATGTCTTCATTTTGTCATTATGAATGAAGTTGTGAATTCGTACGATACTATTAGCAAAAAGAGCTAAATGAAAATTATGTTCGTGATATTTTAACCATTATGATTAATATGTCATATGCAAGAAAACAATCAAACACGGCTGTCGATTAAGACACGCATATCTAGCTCTCAGGGTAACTGTTTAGCTACAATTCGGCAGAGCCTCGTTACCGCCGTAAACATTTACCCTCAAGCTAGATAATCCGATCTGTACCAGCAGCAAGTGTAAGATCTTAATATTCTGCCACACTAATGAATTCTAGGTCTATAAAAAAGTTTATATATTCCGCATTGCATGTGTTACAACGATTTAAGTTGTATTAACTTGGATAAGAAACAGCATTGCTTTAATAATTTATTAAATTCATGCTTTTTTGTTTGTTTCGCTTTGTTTTTTTCTTCAGATAATAAATAAATATATATAACGAGTGGCGGCGGTCAAAATAAAAATATGGTAATTTTCATATCACATTTAAGATGAAAATAAATCCTGTATGTAAAAAAAAAACTTGAATTTTGTTGATTTCGCTTTTATTTGTTTGTTTTGCTTTTAAGATTGAAATATATTTTAATGAGTGAACATAAGATGCAATATTTTACGAGTGACGTAGCCACGAGTTAAAGTAGAATAGAAACTTTCTTTTAAGCTCATGCTTTTTAAATAATATTAAGTATTTTTTAACGATTTTGCCGCGTAACGTCATGCATTCTCCTTTATGAAGTTATCACATTTTGACATGACATAATCGATTTTGAAATAATGTTCTGTTTAATTTCTTTAATTATCATGATTTATAATGGCATCGACTTTTTTCCCTAAAGAATGACGGCTTTTATATTTGCAGATACGAGGTTGCATAATTTCTGTACTTTAAGCTCAGAGTAAATTTGAATTAATGCATACCAATATGATAAGGCATTTCAATATAACCGACTATTGAGTACTGTTACTTTGCAGAAATGAGAATCTCTAAAAGGAGACAATGTGTAAGCAGCCTAGTATCTCAATAGAGCCCATACAGACTATATATTATGTCTTACCATATGACAAACATTTAAATAATATAGCGATTGTTTTGAATTAACAGACATATTGTAAACCAAACAGAACCTACCATTAGTGACAGAACATTTGAGATAGACTGAAATATTAAGGAAACACATTCAAAATAATTCTCATCCTCAATTCTCGTATGTAGATTAGATAATTCAGTCATGACGTTATTCTCTAAATCCCGTAGTCCACTGCCATAGGCATGCAAAGCTTGCATAACATGTTTCCTTGCAGTTCTATGAAACAGTCCTGTCCCATCAACCACAAAACTCAAAGCTCTGTTATTGCAAGCAAAGTGTTTCCCGTAAAATAACTCAGATCGATCATTAAAAACGTGCTTATATTTATCACCTCCGAAACATTTTCTAATAACCCGCTCACTATTTAACACTACAAATGTATCAAAAAGTAGTTTAACTTGGTATATTTCACCATATTGTTCTGCATATTCTGAAAATTTAAAATGCATATTCTCGTCATCAATTTCCAAGATGTTTCCGAGTATAGGGAGACCTTTTGGTCCGACGAGGGCTTTATCCTTTCCTTTCCTTCTTTTACTATATAAAACATACAGTAAAAACAGTCCTAAAGCAAAACAAAACAGTTCAATCACCATTTTTGTTAAAACATTCCAGTACACTTTTAATACCGAGTTAAAAAATAACTTGTTTTTTTACGCTTAAGTAACTGCATTAGATTTTAACCTTTTTAACATATTTATCGTAACCCTTTATAATGATAAGATTGTAAATGTTGTGTAGTTGATAATTTAAACCACTAACCGCTTCGTTTGCATTTAAGAAGTTTAACTGCTAGATGTGTATTAAAAAAAAAACATATAGTGTTATTGTATTATCTAAATAGCATTTCATAAGTAGTTAGAGGTTTATGTCGTCTGAAAGGATAATGATATACAACTATATCATGTTGACAAATACCAACAAATATAACTGTATTGTCCAACAACATTGACCTGGCACTTCATTAACTTTCGCAAAGGTCATCTGATAAACACTGACCAGTATCTTTTGGAATATATCGATATATTTGCTAACTAAACTCGTCATTGAGGTGTGGTGTATTGGTATAGATGTCGGACTACCGATCGGAAGGTCTCTGGTTCGATTCCTCACCAACATCACGTTATGATATTATTTTTTTTAATTTACTTGCAAGAATTAATTTGAAATCGTTTAACTACACCTGGTTTAAGAATACACAATTATATTTTTTATTTAAATACAGTAGTTTTCAACGGTTCTCTTTGTGTTATTATGAAGTCGAATATCCTTTAGCGCATATAAAGGCAGTTATTAATTAAAAAATACTACTCAGATATCACGCACGCACACACGTATGCACGCGCGCACAGACACACTTATACACAACAAAAAGGTTTGCAATAGTTAAATAGAATGGTAATTTTAAAATTAGAATAAAAAAGAAATCCCTGAAAATGATTCGAACCTACTAGTTAACGTCTACATTCTTCAAGTGAAGCTCCGTTACTAACTACGCTAATAAGCATGTTAAATATGAACCATTTTAACGAAATTGATATTTACATTCATTTCGATTTACAAGTATATCACGTTTACGGAATATACCGACTACAGGGTCATATGCAAGAGTGCCAGGTCAATGTTGTTGGACAATAGCATAATAACACGTTATAACATACCATGATCATATACAATAACATTTTTTTAAATCATCATCGGATAGTATTGCAGTATAGTAACATAACAACCAAAATTACAATAATTAAAACATAGACTCTGCAATTTTCTTATAGTTATGTTGCTACATTAAAAATATTTAAAATAGATAATCATTGGACACAACATTCACTCTGAATCAAACAAAGGGTTAACCCTTTGCTCCTTCAGTAATGCTAAGGTAATATAAACATGAGGAATTTATAATAGTACAGTACAGTACAGTACAGTACATTATATCATAACAGTGCAGTGCAGTACAGTACAGTACAGTTCAGTTCAGTACAGTATAACATAACTGTTACAGTGTAGTGCAGTACAGTACAACGCAGCACAGCGGGGCACAATATGGCACAGGATATCATAGCATTGTAATCATAATAGTATAGTTTAGTATTTATAATAGTATGTATAGTATTTATAATAGTATAGTATAGTATTCATAATAGTCACAATCGATACAAACTAGTTACTACTATGTACTTCCAGTAGGCGGAGACCACTAGTTTCCTCCTATCTGAAAACTTATTCTATAAAATACATTATAAAACATATTTAATTCAATTATGTCAAAAAGCACTTGAAAGAGTTTATCTTTTACTAAAGGGAAGTAAATGCAACTACATCTGTCATGTAAAGCTATTTTTGTTATCTCCCTTCATCTGCCATACATTTAGAGTATTGTATTCATGGAAATTCTATTCTTTTCCCTGTCTTAAATGATTGTTTTTTAAGCATTAGAACTCTCCATGTATACCTTGAAAATGATTCCCATCTTTACTGAAATAGTATTATTCATTTTTTTCAATACTTTTCACGCAATACGATACTGTGTCAAAAATGTTAATATGACTATTGAGCAATAATCGTCAATTTCATACTACGCATGTATATTTTTATCTATCTCTTTTTCCCTCTATTTTAATTTCTTTCTTTTTTCTTTAACCCAAAGCAACGTTATCATTTTAGATTTTCTTTTCCATCCAGAGACAACTTTTATCTCAATCGAATCACATTGGTAAAAATTAATATACCATTAATTTAAAGAATAAAAAAAGATAAAACACAATGTAATATCAGTTATCTCTATTAAAAATGCTCATAAGCAATATTTATTTAATAATTACTTTGTTTGTTTGTATGTTCTTTTACCAGTTATTTATTGACCATTTACACTGCTAATTATCTTGTTTATAAATTTGCACACATGTTATTGCAGGATTTAATATTCTGAAATCTGTGTCTTCCAAATAAAGAGAATGTTCTGTTCTGTTCTGTTCCATGCACTGAGAATTTTATGTACACTGTACATCTGGTATTTATGAAGACTTCTAGTGGTAAATGCCAAATACTGCCAGGTCATTTCCGTTTTTGATGAAGATGAGTTCATATTGTAGATTGTTATTTTTCTATAATTGCCATGTTATCATTTACTTGAGAAACATTGAGCCGTTAGCTATTCGAGCAACTAGAAGATTTTCATATCCTGTATGTGTCCTGTTAGCTTCCTAATACACTTAGATTTTTATATTCTGTTGACTATTTTTTATTATTTTATTATTCATTATTATTTTTATTTATCTATTTATTTATTTAATTATTTATCTATTTATTTTGTGACGATGCAGCAATAATCTCGCAGTTTATCTAGATCTTATATCTAGAAACAAAGCATTTTATTTCCATTGTATTATGACAGACAGAATTTCTGAGCGCTTTCGATTGGTTTCTAGAAATACAACGATTACGTTTGAGCGCCACGCTTTCTGGCGTCGTTTGGTGTAATAAAACCATATTAGTTTTTAAATATGATTTTCAATGTGGCCATACCACGTGACTCTTCGGGTACGGAGCACGCCGATTTTTCACCCGATTCAGGTATGTTTTTTTTATTAACAACTTATTTATTACTTGTGGTAAATTAAAATTCTGAGAGTGCGTCGCACATAATTCAATTTAAATGTTGGCAATTAATATATGGCTATAACATGTTAATATTACAAGTTATTGTTGAAAAAGTGATAGGTAGGAATTTGAGAAAACAATCTGTTTTTATTAGAAAAAAAAACCTGATTTTAATGTCTACTTTCGTTTTCTCAATTTCCTATAGATATCACTTCCTCAACAATTACTTGTAACATTTAACATGTTATAATTGCGCAACATTTAAAATCGAACTGTGCTCGACGTATTCTCAAAACGTTCTTTCTTTTATTTTTGCATTATCCTGCACGTTTACGCGTAACGATATTTTGTAAAACAGGTCCCCGGGTTCTCGTCTAAATCAATAAAATATATAACTATAAAACAATCATTCAAATCACAATTGAAATTATTTCTTATATATTTAACTTAAGATTTATTTCAGAGACAGAATTTGCGTGTGTACTTTATCTTTTGAAATAACACTGTGTTCCGTACCATTTCAACATTACTGCATTCACTCGATACATTGGACATAGTAAATCTATCAGATTTAACATGTATTTTTCTATGAAATAGTGACAAAAAACATATGACTTGCTAGAAATCGCTTGTTATGACAAATGAGTGTACCGTTCCCCTTGGTCCCGGCTTAAATGAAGTTCTCAAAAACCATTCAGGGTTTTTCAGAATATTGATATACCGTAAAACGCTGATATAATTACGGGTACTCTGCGCCTTATCTGATCAAATTCGTTGAGTAAGTCACGTGGTATGACATCATTGACTTTGTTAACAGTAGGGGAACCTACTGTATTATTTACACAAGGTTAGCTTTTGAAAAAGCTAGTAGCGACTCGCTTCGTAATTTTTTTCAAGGGGTGTGTTTAAATGTAAAAATGTCAGTTCTGTTAGCTGAAGAGACTTCAGCGAACATCAAAATAAAAGTGAAGTCAACACTGGCCAGGTGCCCGATGGCCAGTGTATGTAAGTTCAGGCCAGTGTAAATTTAAGAAAATTTTGTTAATTATTTAGTAGAATAAATTCAAAACTGGAATTCGGGCCAGTAAATTCAAAATCTTAAACACATTGACTGAAAGTGACATATAAAGTTCTCTCAGTTTAACCAAGATGAGTATGAGTATATATGAAGGTGCATGTAAACAGATAGAATGAAGAACTTATGTCTATGCACATTTACTATATGGCCTGTTGACCTTGACCACAAAATGTTAGATAGGTAGATTTTATAAAGATGTCTCTTTATACAAAATTAAGTTGTAATACATGTATGTTATTTAGTATTGGAATGAGAGGCACAAGTCCTAAAGTAAACACAAGTTGTCAATCAATTCAGCCAGAAAAGCCGGGATCCTATTAAAAATATAGGGATCCCGGAAATTGACCAGTCTAAGAAGATGTTTTTTTCAGATTAGCCGGGATCCTATTAAAACATATAGGGATCCCGGGAATTGACCAGTTCAAGAATATAGTTTTCAGAAAAGCAGGGATCGTATTAAAATGAAAATAGATCTCACGGATTGGCCAGTTCAAGTATATAGTTTTCAGAAAAGCTGGGATCGTTTTAAAACATATAGGGATCCCGGGATTTGACCAATTCAAGAAAATAGTCTTTGATTTTTCCAATTAATTAGGCATATAATTATAAGTATTGTGATTTCCGCATTTTAAGTTTGTTAATAAATAGCTCTAAATATATCTATATTCTAAGTTAAATTAATTTAACGTTCATTATTTACAATAAAAAAAATTAACGTTTAATGGCCTTTCATTACGACAACAATCAACACAAATATAGTTCATTAGGTTTTTCCTCCATATCTTATACGATCCCGGATCCCGGGTGTCCCGGATCCCGGCCAGTAAATACATACACTAAATACCGGAAGGATAAAATGACCGGAACAAAGGAAAAATAAAAAATGCACAGAACCAGATGTACACTTATGTTAATTAACCAAACGAAAACTTACTACAGAGAAAACAGGTGAAATCGCTAAATCAGAAGTCAGTGTAAATATGATTTATTGAAAAGAATTCATAAAGACAAACATTTTAATCATCATTATATCTTTGCGCTCAAAACAATACTTGCTGATTTTTAAAAATGGCGTGAAAATTGAAGGTT